CGGGCACCCTGTGGCCAGCCTGGCGTGTTCAGGTTGGCCCGGGACCCAGACCCTCGGCCTCCCATGCAGCTCCAGCTTGTGCCACTGTGGCAGGGTTGCTGTGAGGAGTAATTTGTTTTAAACTTGTTTTGTTAATTTATTCAATTAAAAACAGTCTTTCTGTCCGTTAACATGACAGCATCATGGGCCACCCTGACCCTGGAGAGTTTTGGGTGGTCAGGCCCGTTTCAAGGGTCACAGACTCTGGACGGTGGCATGGCCGCCCAGGGCTCATGGGCTGTGGACGGCGGCGTGGCCACCTGCTGTGCCACCTGCTGGCACCTACAGCGTCATTATTACTGTCTGTCTTTTATAAATTTATTTTTGACAGGATGGGTTGAATTTGTCTTCAGATTCTCTCATTAGTCTTAAAATCAGATTAATACAATATTTGCTCTAGAAATTGACAGTTTATAATTGTGTAAGTTTATGAGATGCGACGTGATGTTTTTATTTATCATTACAACATCAAATAAATCAAGCTAGTTAAGAAATCCATCACTTCAAATGCTTAACATTTTTCACGGTGAAAAATTTGGAATTTATCCTCTTAGTTTCAAAATGCACCAAGCTCTCGTGGGGACTCTTCACAGCGCTGTGCTGCTCTCTGATCTCCGTCAGCAGTGGCTCCCGTGTCCCTCCAGCCCACATGAGCCTGCGTGTCTTTGGATGATTGCTCTCCTTGTGTCTCTGACACCCCAGGCCCCCGGAGCAACCCTCCTGCATTCTGCTTCTCTGAGTTCCATCATTCCAGACCCCACAGGAACTGAGAGCATGCGGCGGCGTCTCTGCCCGGCCTTCTCCATTGGGGTGTTCTCGGATTCCCTCCTTTTCAAGGGCCGAGTACTATTCCCCTGGGTGCGTGTCTTTTCCTCCCACAGGAACACTGGTCCTCAGGCCCCCCTGGAACCACCTGGGAGTGGTGGTAAGTCTGACCAGTGTGCAGCTCCTCTAATTGCCTGGACCTGGGGCAGCACTTCTGCAGGGTGGGGTTACTCGGAGGCCTCGCGTTCGTGGCAGAACTGTTGTCATTTTTATTGGAAGCAGAGTGATTTTTGGGGTGGTGTGGCACAATTGGCTGCTCAGTGCTTGGTACCTTGAGTCACATAGTCCACCTCTGGAATAAGACCTAGGAGTTAGGTGTTTTTTTCTGATAGCTTAAGTGCAGTCTGCCTGCCTGTATGCAGCATGTCTGGCTTCTTAAAACTCTTGGCTCCTCAGTCCTGTTCTTTAGTTCTGCCTGCAGATCTCACTGCCCCAGCCCTCCTACACGGGTCTCTATCCCAGAGTTCTGTTAACAAGCGGTTAACATTTGTGAACTTCGTATTAATAAGAAAACAATTTCAGGTGTTACATTTCCAGGGGACCTAAATCGCACCATTGATTTAATACCGTGGAGGGGAGACATCAGTTAGACTTAGATATTAGCGATACACTGACATTGAACGTGGCAACGGTCTTGTCTGTCTGTCTGTGCGTTCCTGCGTCCATTCCCTAGCAGCGGCCACAGGGGCAGTGGAAGCCTTTCTAGTGTTCAGACTCTGTCGGGAAGGTGGGTGAGCTGAGCGCTCCAGTGGGTAGGCGTTAGTGCCTCAGGAACACGCTTGACTTAGAGCAGCACTCGATACTGCTCAAAGCAGACTTCAGTTTTCAAATCTCTATGGCTTATTGTAAGAGTTTGTGTTTTTTGTTTTGTTTTAAGACAGTCATGTCACTGTCTTCTTGTGTCCGCCACCCACTGGGATGACAGGTGCACACCGCCAGCCTGCCCCCTTTTATTGCATTGAGTATTTGTATGGAAGAGATATAGAAGGTAAGAGTAGGAGGAGGAAGAGGAAGGCAGAAGTTTTCTTTATTTAATTTTATTTTTATCTCTTGCACGAGTGAGAGACAGAGATCTTGTCCTCAGTTGTGCTGCTCCTGCCCCGGGCCCCAGCCAGCCCTGGATCTGGGCGTGCACATGCCGGTGTGCTCAGGGGAGTCCGGATGTGGACTGGGACCCCCAGCGTGCAGGGTCTTGCAGGACACTCCGCTTTACCGCTGCACCGCATCTGCCCCAGAGGCAGGTATTTGGGGCAGGGTTTGGCTTTTGCAGTCCCTACCCTAGCGCCCAGTCAGCCAGGATTACAGGGGCGAGCAGCTATGTGTGCCCTGAGCGGTGGGTGTGGGCGCAGCCTCCCTGCAGGGCTCTCGGGCGCGGTCCACAGGCCTGGCCGTTTGTTGTCTTTAATCACATTCCTTACTCTGTGATGGACAGATCTGCAGACACTTGATAGCTTTTGTTTATTCCTGCACGATATTTTTGTGTCATTCACTGTAGACCCAGAGGTGAGGCTGTCCCGAGAACAGCATTTGAGGTCCTAACTGATGGGTAGATGTCAGTGGGTGCTTAGATTGTTCTTTATGTGGGCGTCTGGTTTGGTAGGAGCCTAGTTTCAGCAGGGTGGAGTTGCAGTGTACAGTGTTGGAACCCGTTTTCCCCAAGGTAGTAGCAGCGGTGGGTGGAAACAGGCGGGAAGTGCAGTTGTGCGTGCTGTGATGGTCCAGCTCAGGGTCTGGTCCCTACGAGGCCCCTGCTGTGACAGCTCCTTCCCCTTCCCACCCACTGGAGCTTCAGGCGTCCCGATGTGACTCGAGCCCTTGGCGTGGAACCCCTGGGGAGTGGGGTGGGAAGAGGAAGAGCCTTGCCGTCCTGCTGAGAAGCCTGGCGCGTGTCTGCTGTGTATCACGCATTGCCATGTTGAAGAAGCCAACTAGTGACGTCCTGTTTTTTGTCATAGGGATCGATGGAATCGAGACGGTGCTTTTTAAATTCATTGATTTATGAATAGATTCCTTTTTAAATATTTTTGTTTGGAGATAGTCATCATTTATGTATTATGCTTTCAATCATATGTCATGCAATTTAATTTGAACTTTATCTGTGACTTTTATTTTCCCAGGGCTTTATTTAATAAAAATCATTCTAACCAGGCGTAATTCGGATGGGATTTTCTATTAACACACACACACACACGCACAGGCCTTGCAGTCTGGTGGTTAAAGAAGTCAGATCCCACGTGGCAGAGCCTGTTGTTCAACGCCTGGCCCCCTGTGGCTTCTAAGATGCCAGGCCGTGCGTGCGAGGGTGTCCAGTGCCCCAGGGCCGCTCCCGAGGGGCCTTGCTGTCACCATGCCTGTCTGGGGGCACACCCTCTCGCTCGCTTTCCGTCTGGTGAATGCGCTCACTCTGGCCCAAGAAAAGGAAACGGACATTAATGATTTTATAAAGCAGTCATAATTTGGACATTTAAAAGTTAGGAATGCAGAATGTTATAAACAAAGGCTTTTATTTCTGGTTTGTGTTCTAACATAAGTAGAAAGCGTGCATTGCCAGAAGCGTTGCCCTGACAAGGGTGCCCTGCCGATATTTGGAGAATAAGCATGGCTCTGGTAGCGGTAGCTCAGAAAGTCACGGAAACTACGTCGAGCAGCTGATGCGCCTCACAGATGACACAGTGCACACAGCCCGGTGCTGCCAGTGCTTGCATGCAGGCGTGATGGACACAGCGTTCCCCCAGCAGGCGCTAGAAGGAATTCGCTCTCCAGCTCTCAGGGGTCTCAAGGCCAGAAACCCAGAGACTCCCTCCCATGTCATGCCTGGAAGCGCCAGCGCTCGCGGTGTAGTGTGTGGCTCCTGGCGTCCGAGCTCACTGAGCGTGTGGCACGCACTGCTGCTAACTGCTGCTAGTGCTGCCGTGACTGCGTGTGGACAGGGCAGGACCCAGGCCAGCAGGCGGGAACGCGGTCCTGCGCTCCGAGATAGACCAGAGAGAGCCGACTTCAGGAGGTCGCAGTGTCTGTGCGGTTCTCTTTGACGCTTTCTCATCGAAGGCTGTTGGTGTAGAAGGGAAGCCTCTTACCCCCGGCACTGGGCTCTGCGTACCTGTCCCTCTCACAGAAAGTCCCTCTCGGCCCAGGCGGCGGTGGCACCTGCACACTCAGGGGTCCCTGCCTGCCCTGTCCTCCGTGATGTGTCAGCAGAACTCGGACCCTTCTGTGAAAGGCTCGTGAAGTCAGTGTACCCCAACCCAGCAACGGAGGAGGCTGGGATGCCCTCCACGGTGGCCGGAGCCGTGAGAGCCGACTGAGGGTGGGCTGGGCACGTGGTCTCCGAGCCGTGGTGCAGGCCTGTCCCGCTGCTGGTGGCCGGGCGCTCGGTCCCTGGTCCTCGGTCGGGAGCACGTGGCGTGGGCCCTGCAGCCAGTGGCGTCCGCCCCAGTTGAGGTTCGGGGGGGGAGC